TACACTTTACAGTTTTTTTTTTTTTTTTTTTTTTTTTGGTGAAAATGATGCAAAATGTAAAATTGCCCAGATTTTTTTTCTCACTTCCACATGTTGTTGCCTTTTATCAATGGTCTGAAACCGCAATGCAATACAGCTAAATGCTAAAAAAAAAATAATTAAATGGAGCCATTAAAGTTGGCATCAGCTGGACTTCGGGCCATCGAAGCTGAGCTGGTAAACTTTTCCCTACTAGCAGACATTGGTAAAGAGTTTCACCATGCTATTTATAGAGTTTTAGCATTGATACTGCCAACAAAGGCATCACCAACTGAGCCAGAAAGATCATGTGGTCAATATTGGTAAGAGATGTGCAAGAGTTCCTTTAACAGCTGAGCCAGGAGCAGAAATTCTGATACCTCATCATCAAGAGGTATGCCATCAATAAAACAGTAGCTAAGCTGGTGTACCATCAACCTCTCACCAGCAGAGCTAGAAGTCCTACTAATGGACATCAGTAACAGATGTACAGTATGCCATCATTGTCAGAGAGCTGGTCTGACATCAGTTTTTGTGATGTCAATGCTTTCTTCGCATCAACTACTGTAAGTAAATAAGGAATGAACACTATGGAAATGTAGGCTAGTGTATCTTCTAAGTACTTTGTGCTTATAATCTATTTGGAAGTGCAGAGCTCATATCAGGTTTTTGAATAGATAAAAACATGAATGCAATAATAGGAATTATAACATGCCTATCAAAGCGTGGAGTTCTTGGGGACTGGATTCATTGGGAACATCAGTACTTTGGCATGCATGAACGAAAGCTGCGGTAAATTACTAAGTACGTTGTTTGCCTCCTGACTTAAATTCTCATCTTTCTTAGGTTGGGTTACCATCGAAGTCTGCATGTTTTTCAGGATGCTGTCTAGAGGCTTGGTACTGCTTCCTCCTGGAGGTGGCGCTAATGGTGATGACATCTCCAGGCCTAGAAACTCGCTATCTAAACCACCTGCAAAAAGAGAGAAAAAACATCAGGTTTTATTTTAACATTGATGTAATATTAGTGCACATATACTACTTGACACCTTTTCGTTATGAGGTTATCACATCCATAGTCTTTTCGACAAAGATTTGCAAGGTTTACACATTTAGTTTGCATATCATTTCCTGATAGAAATTGTACACAAGGCCTCAGCTGTTTGCATCTTTCAAATTATAATCAACATCAACAACCGATTAATTTCACTTCAGAAACATCCTAACATGAAACAACATGTTGAAAAGCACTAATTCAAACGTATTCATACCACCAGTCATCAATTCAAAGGCAGTGATGGGAGAAACATATGACACTTCTATCAACTTATTTCGACACGTAAATATTATACATGTTTGTGGTTACAAATAATGTCAGGGGTACATCTGAAAGTGTGAATGTACTTGTCTCAATATGACCTTAAATACAAGGTAAATAAGTAATCAAGTTTTTTTTATTTTTATCCGTTCTGGTTTACCATCGAGCACTCTGCTGATAATTGCAATATGTTCCATAGCTCAATTTTTTTTATACAGTACATAAAAACAATGTGTTAACAAGGATGCAATAGACAATGAGATTTGAACCCGACCCCATAATCGAAACGTCAGAATCACCACCATTACGGATATAGACGTAATTATTGGCCTGTAGACAGATGACAAGGGTTAATTCTCAACAAACAGCGTGCTATATTTCATACTGTATTTCGAGGCAAACTGCACCTTTATCCTGTCTAGATAAAATAATATAGAACCCCACAGAATACAAATACTTAAAAAAAGGGATAAATTTAACTGTCAATCAAAAATAGCTATGATGCAGCAAACATTATTCATAAAATGCAAATATGTAACTGTAAAAAAGCCAGTTAAATTAAGTAGGGGAAACTCCACCCCTGTTTGAGAATCTATTTACTAGTCATTAAAGATGAGTTGTTTGGATTAAGCAAAAAATGTTTTTAATATATGGATTTAATAAGAAAACCATAAGAATAATGCAACTTAAAAATAAGAAAAAAGTAACTTAATTGTGAGTTACAGTAATATAGCTTTTAAACACACCATAAAAATGATGGTAACATGCTACAAGGAAATGAAGGAGAATCTTGAAAAATGAAAACAAATAAACAGACATTTTGTCAGTGGATACACTAATTAGCTCCTCTATTGAGGTGATTTCCCAAAAACCAGAAGTTCCACTGATTAATCTCAGATAAGTATATGTTCCAAGTATTGAAATGCAACCATCTTGTTTGGAATTTCAACACGATGGCGTGCATTCCAATACTTGGGAGTATATATTCTGGTATATTTTATTTAATCATCATAGCATAATAAAATGAATTGAGATGATTAATTGAGTATGTATTATACTTTCCTACTGGGGTTATTTGAAAGTTACAAGACCTATTCCCTAAAGTATTAGATTTTGAACAACAAAGGAACAAGGAAAACAATTTTAAAGAAAGTTTCAAACTCTAAAATTGGAGAATAAGGCTGTCTTCTACCTATCTCTGTTGTTTTCTGGGTCCAGATTGTTGTAAACAGAAATGGAAAACGAAGTGAGAATACATGTAATGGACATTGACACCAAATCACTTCTCGTGTACTGTACTTCATATTGCACTCTGTAGATGAGCTGGCTGGTCTTATATTTTACTTCAACAAGCAAATATTATACATACATTACAGCATTTATATAGCCCTATTTCATGAATTTCCGAGCGCTCAAAGCATGGACTACAGTTTAGCTCATATAGTAACTTTCTTCTGTATGGACCAGTACACCGGGGTAACCACTACTCGTCTCGAAATATGAACTGGGTTCTTTTATAGTGCACATGAGCCAATTGTGTACACTGGGCCTATGGTTTACAGTTCTTACCTAATATGTGAGGTCTCACAACGAAATGAGATGCATCTTTGGTGAAATCCTATTGAGATATTCACCAAAATAGGTAAATGTCAAAAATTTTGATTTTAATATTTTTGAGTAACTTGATACTTATTTTATACGATTGTATACTTCTTAAGTGAATTTTCTAACTAAAACAGTGTTCTCTGTACATATTCTGTAATTCTAGTCCTACTATCTGTACAGGTTAGTTTATCTTTGAGGCCGATTTTCTCAAAATGTGATCTTTGAGGCCGATTTTCTCAAAACGTGGTTCTCATACACCTAAACTTCAAATACTCACATCTCTGGATCTACTTATCCTAGGGAAGCCATTCAAAAAACAAATTAAAGCTTACAATGTAATCCACCAAAATATAATATAATTTTTGAATTTCTAACCATGAGACTCATTTCGTGGTGAGACCTCACATTATTATGAATGTACACCAATGGATGGTATAAAAAATTGCTAAAAAAAACTTAATATAATAATTGACTAGAAAACTTTCACAATATTTTTACTCCAATCGCAAGTAAATGAGGAATATGAGTTGACAGGATGTGTTCAATTGCAAAATGGGTTGGTGCCAAGTACTCGAGTGTGTTCACAAGTTATACCAGTGAAAGGGTAGATTTTGAATCATATTGAGACAATTATCTATTTCCTTATAAAGATAATCAAGCAACTATTAAAAATAATGATAAATATAAACAAATGTTATCCAAGTAAAAGATATATAAAAGAAAAGAAAAGAAAAAGTCTAAATACTAAGATCTGCATACCACCAAAATGAGACTAAAATGGTTAAATATAAACAAAATCATGCAAACAAAACCAAAATTTAAAAAAAAAAAGGTCAAGCGAGGTCAGACCATGCCACAACATTTACCTGCCGACCACTTGTTTTTCAACGAGGACTTTGTCTCTACGACAAAGAAATCCAAGTTTAAGCTGTTTGCTAAAGTAAGGAAGAATAAAAGCAAGTCTAAATGAACAATTTTACTTGCTTTAAGCATCGACAGCAGTAAAAACCAACACAACAATAAAATAAAAACCAACATCACTAACAAAAACAAATCAATTAAATAATAATTTTAAAAAATAACAAAATTGTATACGAACAAATATTGCACATTTGTATCTCACAGGTCATAATCCTACTATTACATATAATGGCCACATATTTCATAATTAAATCAACATTAATCTCTCTTGTGGTTTTTATCTGTGCATGTCTATGTCAAAAGCAATTATGCAAATAAATATGTATGTATTGTCTGCATTTAAAAAAGTTTATACTAGCTACCAGTTGTTGGAAAGTGGTTCAAGCGCTTGGCAACCATACACTGAAAAGAGTAGTGATGCTTTATAAAATAATATAATTCATATGGTTGTACATATGCCTGATCTTTGACATAGTCTTGTGCAATTAAAAGTATGGGATTTAATTTTTTATAGTGAATCGTTTGCATAGGCCTTTACATCAAATTGATTTTGTTATACTGTAATGTGGTTTTATATCAAATGTTTATAGTCCTTTGAGTTTAATTGGCATTTATAATAAAACCAATTTTGGAATTTCTAAATGTTTACATTTGTAAACTAATAATCATGAAGATAAAAACAATAATATTATTAAAATAATGATGATAATAACAATCATAACACTGATAACAATCAATTAATACAACTTGATCATAGTAATGGTATAATGTGCAAGGAGATTATTTAACAGTATTGATTATTATTTTCAATTATTAAAATCAAAACAATTATTATAATAAAGTTTCCCATAAAGGTTATGTTGCACAAACCTGACAGATCTAAAATCTCAAAATTTTGGGTGAATCCCAACAGCTGACTGACAGGCCTAAATTTCCAATTTTTAGTGGTTTTGTAACACAACTTCATTGGTTCAATTTGTACAATATTGGACGTTATTGCAATAAGCAAGCAAAGATGCACAAGATAATTAAGCATTATAGCCCTCAAAAATGTGAGGGCACATTGTTTTGCATTATGAATGTTTTTAAAAATATGCGTACCATCTAAAGGGTTAGTTAAACCACTTCCAGACCAATCAAACTCAATCTTCGTAGAAGATTCCTACAGAAAATAAATCAGATAAAAATTACAAAGGAAGTTATTTTTTAAAAGAAGTACAGATATTATGTTAAAGATATAATGTCTATGTCAAAATCTGGGGGTGGGGGAAAGGACGAAGGTGAACCCCTTAAAAATTTAATTATAACACAGAATTCCTCCAGTGGAAGTGCCATCATTTGCACAAATAAGGTAATTATAAGAAATCCAGTTACTGATATTTTAAAAGTTTAACAGTAATACATCAACAAAGACATTATATCTTTAATAAGGAATGAAAGCCCTATTCACACTAAATATGACAAAGCAATTTACAAGCCCATTTATGGGTGTGACATCATCATACACAGTGTGGACAGAGTATTAAGAACAACAGATAATGAAACAGAGAGAGAGTTCATTAAGATGTAACTTTACAGATAAATTTAAAAGAGAAAAAAAACTATATAAGAGTGTTACACTATAATTATTAATATACTGACTTGGACACTATATATTTAAATCTGTGTGTTGTGACAGTCACAGCCAGTTGATTTCAGGGAGCCAATAATAAAGTAGTAAAATAATGTAAACATCATGAAGTTGTGGGAGGTTGGTTAGTTCCCTAAAAATATTTGCTTGCTCACAGGAGTAGCAGACGACTCCCGAGTATTGTGGGAGATTTGGGACCCCTAAAATTACCATCTATGAACATCAGAGATGGCTTCCGTGTTATCATTCTAACAGCTCTCAAACACTAACAATTTTTTAATTTTTTTGTTAATGTAACAGACTCCTTACCTTCTTACATTACCCACACATTGCCTATCATCACATACAGTACAACAGCTTAATACAAGTGTATTTGTACAAAATTGTTAGAGATAACGGTATTGGGAAGAATGGTTTCTGCATGAGCGAGTGAGGTGTTTCCTCACATTAGTCGACACACATCTAGATTAATTATGTATTTCCTAGTATGATGATGTCGGGTTGTCCCTGAATCTTGCAAACAATCCTGTCCAGAGATTAATTCTATTGCTTTGTTTTGTGCAAAATGGGTAAGGACATAGGATTCCTAGAAGTATTGATTTATGTGTGGGGAAATGCCTATAATATTCAGAATACTGGTTATGAATGTATTACATCCAACAGGATGGAAGTGAAGCATTACATTCAATTTTACTCTTTTTTTCATTATGGGGCTAAGGAAGGGAGTTGATATTAAATACTGCTATTAAAATATTCATTAGAGATTATGAGAGCAGAAATTTAAGAGTGGAGTAAATATTGTTATGTATTTAAAATATGTATTAAATATTAATTTTATGTATAAAATACAGATATTTATATATACAAGTGCAGGCAAATTGATTATTTAAAAATTAAATCAGCTTATTCAATCAAGTATTGTTTTATAGTACTTGTTTGTAATATTGTTTTACCCAGGAATTTTTCAGCTATTGACCTGGGATTTATGTACATTCTTTTGTAAAATATGAGGTTTGTAATAAAGCATGATGATATATTATATTTTATTCATACATACATTTATAAATATCATTTTTATTAACATAATTTGCTTGTAAATTTCTATATATTCATATTTATCTATATTAAATTTATGTATTTATATTTATCTTTATTATATTTACGCATTTATTTTTATAAATATCAGGCTAATGGCCTCCTGAAAGTTTGATTTATAAATTATAAATATATGTTTGTATTAGCTTTTAGAAGTCCTGGGCATTCACAGGAATTAAGCACATGATCCTAGCATGGAAGGAAGGACTTGAAAATACACGATACAAATTTATTGTCCGAACGAATGGAAATAATATAAGCTCTTTTTAATTTTTAAAAGAAATGGATAAAGTAATAGATTTAGGCTCACCTCATCAGGAATAACAGCAGATATACTGGTTGAAATGAGTGTTTCCTCTGGGCTAGGCTCCTGTTGCTTCTCTACCTTCTCGCCTGCTTTGCTGGGAATCAAGAGGCCGAGGTCTGAGGCAAAGATAGGAGTTGGCCTCTTCTTGGAAGACAGCTATAAAAGATAATTTAATGATAAGACATTGTACAATGATACACAGTACTATTGTATAACAACAATGATGATGAAAGTGTTTTAAACACATAAGATTTTTACTTAATAATCCTTGACATTAATAATAAGTGAAAACTTAAAAGTATTAAGCTCTAGATTCAATTAATACCTACTACTGTACAAAAAAATTAAAATAATTATGTTTTAATGTACTTCTTGTACCTATGAATCATGAATTGTGTCGGACTTTTAGATGAGTTTGCAGATTGACTATGACCTCCTATTGTAACTCATCCTTATCTTAACACCACAGATTTGTACATCTTAATTGCTTTTTATGATTGGTATATTAAGCACTATGAGATAATGATCCTCCAAGGGAGTGTCAAAGGGGCAAGGAAACAGGGAAGACCCAGCTTAGATGGACTGCTAGGCTGGGGATTCTGAAACGGATGCAGGATTTGGTGGCAGGGAGTGCGTGAGAATTCACACCACCTTAGATCCACCACGGTTGAGGCTGAGAAAAATCTCAGAATATGGAGCTCAGGTGACCAGAAATTGCACTCTCATACTTTTAAAATCTTACTGGTATTATATTTTCAATGATACAAATAATATTTCAACATACAACACAATACATCAATTACTTTTCTTAATACAATTTAGGGGGGTGCGATCATACCGTTGCACCCCCCCCCCCTGCATCCACCCCAAGGATTTGACTTCCCACTGTTTGAACAAACACAACTGCTTTGCTCAAAATCGGCAGCTATAGATTACTACGGCAATAACCGGCCAATGTCTGGTAAAGAAAAAAATCTGTTTCCTTGTTAAATCTAAATTTAATAGCAACAGTGAGATAACAAGTTTAAAACATCAGGAAGAGAATCCAGATAAGAGCAAAAGAACTGCAGATTAGCATAAGAGGAAATCTTCCATTTTATTTAAAAATTGTTTTATAAAAAGATTTGTTGACATTACTTAAGAATTTCTTGTCATTTTGATATTCAGGGTTCGTACATTTTTAAACAAGCAAATTTCCAGGACAAATTTTCAAATTTCCTTCTAGGACACATTATATCGCTTAACACTAAACAGTAAAATATTTGCGATTTTACGATTATAAAACATGTATGCTGTACTAAATTTTAAATGCATGTTAGTAAGTGTATATTAAGTTTCATGTAACTCTAATTTGGAAGTGATGGATCTGTCTTTTTCTCAAGCTCGTGGGAAATTCTGTTTTTCCCACATGTGTAAAAATTCTTTGGTAAGCAAAGGAGTTCCCACAAGCACGAGGAATTAAAGTAAGGCAGGACTGATCTTCTACATTCACTGAATGTACAAGTTCGTACTGAACCAGCCAGTTGGACACTTTTAGTATTTGACATTCTTTCTGTCTTCCATAACATTCCTGAATTGGCGGCGTACAAAGACTTGACCTGTTCTGGGAACCTACTTGTGGGACCGTTTCTCATTTAAGTTACTGTTACTAGGCAACTTGTAGTCCCGGAAGAATCATAAATGATCAAATTTGAAGGACATTCAAGGACAATCATAATTTTCCAGGACTTTCCAGTACTGGAAAATGCTCATTTGTTTTTCCAGGACATTCAAGGAAACCATACAAACCCTGGATATTGTTTGTCAATGTCATTTAGTTAATACAGATGATATTAATGTCACTTGTCACATTCTGTTTTTCTTTGAAACTCATTGTAGCTTTATCAATTTCTACCTCTGTCCTCACTATTATAAAATATATTATTATTTTTTACATTTCCAAAGACTAAAGTATATCAATCAAGGGAACGAATGGCAATAGTAATTAAGGAAATTTATAAAGTGTACCAATAGGATTCTACATAATCGACAGACCATCTCAAAATGTTTAAGTAACAATATTTATATGGCATGTATGTACTGGAGCTAAGCCGGCTGACGGATGGTAGTGACTATCAGTGTTGAACAATAAACATTTTTGGAGTCGCTGGTTCAATTCCGGAATTAACGCAAGTTAACTTTACACCAAAAGTTTTAAAAATGTTGCTTATTGCTACTTAAGATGTTTAAAAAAATGAATAATTTAATTTAATTAAACTTTAGCTTCAATATCACACATAAGCATTCATCTTTTAAAACAACCCCCCCCCCCATTTGTATTTGCAATGCTTAACATATCAAAATAACTTAAGTGAAACCGAATAACACCATATAAAATACTAGTGACATTAAGTACACATATTATCTCAAACATCAAATAATTTTGCATGCAGAATTAACTTTAAAAAAAACAAACAAATCCAGGTCACAATCTGGAGGTCAAGGTATTCTGGGTAACTACTGTAATTGTATACGCAGTATTTAAAACAACTTACCACCCTTGTCCAGGCCCGTGCTTAGCAAACCGACTTAAGATCTTCACATCACGTAATATAAAGTGACACTAATTTATGCATGAGAAACTTTCATATTCATATTCCTCTGTAAGTTTTTTATTGAATTTCAAATAGAAATTCTTAAACGATATCAAAATATACAGAGAAATAAAAAAAATATATATTAATAAAAAATAATGTCATATATTCAGTGAAAAAATCAGGGGAAACTTTAAAGAATTCAATAAAAACATTTAAAATGCTTATTTAAAAGTAATAACTCAACAAGTAACAAGTTATCAACTTCCCATGCCTTAATAATGTTCAGCAATTTTTACCAACATTTTACAATGTAATTCTCATATAACTGATTACCATCCAAAAGGGTCCGCAAAAATAATGAAATGGTCGACCGGCGAGGACGATTTTAATTTAGTAACTAAAAACAGGTCAATAACCTACATTGAGTGAGAACCTATATCATTTAATTTTAAATACTGTTGTCATGGTGACAGCTAAGGCTGATTCTCATCTTTTTGATGATTACATCAGCACTTAATCAAGGTAAAAATCCAGGGGGGGGGGGGTGACAGGCAGGCGGTAATGGGTTTTAAGGAGTCAATTATTTCAAATTCTGATTGAAATATTTCCAATTCTCTCTCTTTAATTTATATCACTACAGTCCTTTTTTTATTTCCTCCTAATACTTAAGATTTATTTTTATATAAATATTACGTGCACTGATGCACATCATTTTGACAGTTCAATAGCGCATGAAATTAAAAATAGCGAGATATCTTCATAAATTTTACAGTATTCTATTAAAATAAGGTAGTGGACAAAAGTTGGATTATCAAATACATCTGAGGGTACACATTAATACACTAGTTCAAAAGAATTGGCAGTGTTTGTTTAACCAAACAAAAATATGATCAGTATATCAATCATTCAATTTATTTATTCCATATTTTTCTCTTTCTTAATATTGTTATGTATAACAACACAGATATTTTTCATGATGCATTCTTAATGTAATTAATTAGAATCATAAAATAATTAATTATATACTGTTTGTGGATGTAATCTTATAGTGATATTTATAACAAAATCATTGGATAAATTAACAGTTGGGTTTGAGTCAAACCAATATAGAATTTACACAATATTCTACAAATGACCGTTGGATGATTTTAAACTAGTTGATTTGGACAAGCTTACTAGTCATAAGCAGATTAATCAAGGCCCACAGGTCCCACAGGACTGCTGTATCCAATCAACTGATGCATGAGGCTTATAGATAACCAATAAAAGGGAAGTATGCATTCACCTAGCTTTCCTTCACACATTATCTAGCTCCTGTTTAGATCGGTTCACTAACTATATATAGAGGGCAGCAGATTTCTTCTACATATCCACCTAAATAATGATTAAGTCAAATGTATGTTTTTCATCATTATTTCAAACATCCTCTTTCCTGTGACTCTCTACAATGTTTTTCTCTTTCATAAAAAAAAAATATCACACCTCTTCAAATTGATTTAACAGGGACAAGAGCTCACGTCCAACAGGGTTCACATACCTGTTCAACATACCACTATTGTATATAGCAGTAGTTGCCCAGAATACAAACTCTCCCGGAAATAATGATCTAAAAATAACTAAGATGTTTGTTTGTGGTTTACTACAGTTAAGGTAAATGATTTTCTTTATGGTGGCACCCTTTAGGATGGAACTAAGAAAAAAGAGCTTGGCAGTCGACATGTTAAAATATTTAAATAAATCTTCAACAAGGAAGTTAATGTTTGCATTAAACTAACAGTTTTTGAAATAAAAATTGTTTACAATACAATAATGATAAATTTACCATGTATTTTTTACTCTCATAAAAATGACAAATAAAAAATAAATAAACCCTAGGCAACTACAGCCGACCTACTTTCTAATTATCAACATCATTATAATAACTCATAATAGAGGGCAGTATACATGCTTTAACCATATTGCATTGAAGTGTAGATCTTTACTGACATAGCATTTTAAATACAAATCCATTTCATTGCCTATTGGGGCAGTATACAGATGTGTATTTAATGGGTGGTTGGTGTATAAGGCTAAAGTATATTAAATTCACTTGGAATTGATAATCCAGTATCTGACATAGTAAATAGTTGACTAATTAGACACTGTTCTATTAATATTTGTGAAGGTTTCCAACATTCAAAAATAAACGTCAACCAATGTGTGTGTGCACAACAACAAAAAATGACTTATCATTATGGCAACCATAGACCTACCATCAATATTATTATCGTCATTGTTTTCCTCATCATCATTATAAGCAATGAACACAAAACTAGAGGAAATGACTTAAATTAAAAATTTATTATTACTACTTACAATATTTCTAGTGTCTATGGCCAAAGCTGTAAGCAGTTGCTTGTTGTTGCTAGAGTCTGCCCACTGATATGCTAATGCATTAGTCTTCTCCATATTCTGTAACTTATCCCAGATATTTATAGCTGTCGACCTGAAAAACAAAACCAAGGAATCTAAAACAAAGCTCACTCAATGTACTGTATGTAATCCTCTGGATAGACTGATGGATATTATAATTAAAAATGCACTGTCTGAGATGAGATAAAATATATTGAATAATATAAATATTAAAATTCAATTCCATATTTGGACTACATGATTTGTATATTTAGCTTTAATAACTTGGGGGCAACATGAGTTGTCAGTATGATCATAGATGTGACCTTTATTAGCATGCCCTTAGGAAGATCTAACCAAGTTGTGCTGTCGTTACTGAGCTGTCTGCTTGAGTAAAACAGCCTGGTTATTCTTGGTAGACATTTTTCAGGGTAATGCAACATTGTTAAACTCTGTCCACACTATCAAAAACTGTTGTAAGTCCATATTTAGTCATGATGTGTCTATATATGGTCATGATGTGTCTATATAGGGTCATGATGTGATGTCATCATTACCATAATTAGGCATGCAACATTTTTGTCAAATGAAATTTCATACATTGTTAAGTGCTGGATGCTTTTTTTGTCAAACTGAGCAGTTACATATTTGTTATTTGGTATTCATATAGTACCTATTCCTCTAGGTTACAAAGCGCTTTGTTTTCCCTGGTCATTGGGTCCGCATGCTTAAGCGTTGTCGCCATATTGTTGCAGTAGCAGCCAACCCCACTGGGTAATGTACTCATTTACACTCCTGGGTGGAGCGAAGCAATGCAGATAAAGTGCCTTGCTCAACCTTGAGGTTGGGAAACCACACCGTTCCTGCTGCGCCAAACTGCTTCCACAAAAAAGTTCAATCCAGAAATTTAGTTTAGGTGGGTACTTGCTCTTATAAAAACATTTTATTAAGATTATAATCATTACCCATTAGTATTCTTCTTCCGCTCGCTTTCTTTAGTTTCTTCTTTGATAACATCTAGTAGGGTATTAATTGTATTTTCTGTCTCAATGCTGTCGCAGTTACTTGGAAAACACACTCGGAAAACCTGGTCCAACTTGCTACCCGTGACCTACAAAAAATTAAGACATAAAACCATAATAATTAATTATTTAAAAAAAATAATCTATGTATAAATCACAGTACTTTAAATTATTTAATGTATTTGAAAATTGAATAATTATTACATCCTAATTTGTATGATATACCCATGACCAAGAAACAATTAACCCTGTATATAGTTACAAAAAAATAATTAAATAATTAGTACATCCTATGCACTGTACTGTATACTTAGAATCCATGACCTAGCAAAGGAAATAAGACTATAAAACCACAAAGAAAAGATAAACAAACAACAATGAATCAAATAATACAAACTTCTCCAAGGCTTGATGCAAAAATTGAACACTAACCTGATGACCATTGTAACAGAATTTGAGCTGCGATTGGTGAAACATCATACTCACTGGAGTCACCAATGTTAACTGGCTACAAACGCTCAGTCACCTCTATAGTTTACCCCAATAGAAAACTCATCCTTACTAATTTAAAATTGGTATGGTGTTGGATACCAGTATATTATGCATCGTGGACTTACAAAACCAAAGAATATCGACTTACAATAAAAATGAACCGTCATTATTCCATAAAAGAATCCTTCATTTTTATTAGCTTCCATTCAGTAAGACTGAGTCCATGATAAACTAGATCACATATTGATTAGTGGCCTGTCATTATTGACATTGTGCTGTTGAGTTGTGTAAATGTTACAATACTTACCAACTGTTTAATGTTTTGTACCATCGATAATTGATAACATTACAACAAACTTACCTTCGGTATTGTTGCAGATGGTTTACTAGGAGCAGTGCTAAATTTGCAAAAATCGTCTGAAGTGGTATTGTTACTTGAGAAACTGCCAAAATCATCATCATCGTTCTGAGCACCAGATTGCGAGGTGGTTGATTCTTGAAATGTTCCAAATTCTCCAAAATCATCTTCAACATTTTTTGACTCAAAATTTCCAAAATCAGCAAATTTATCACTTTTCATCTGTTGGAATGATGTATCAGCTTCTTTCTTAGCCTCACTACTTTTTTTCTGATTGCTAAAATCTGTGAATTTGCCAAAATCATCTGATGATGTTGATTTAGACTCATAGTTTCCGAAATCATCTGATGATATTGTTTTTGATTCAAAGTTTCCAAAATCATCCAATTCTGTTGTTTTCGACTCACAATTTTCAGATGTTATTACTGGTTTTGACTCAAAATTTCCAAAATCATTTGATCTTGTAGTTGTTTTTGATTCAAAGTTTCCAAAATCATCCAATTCTGTTGTGTTCGACTCACAATTTCCTGATGATACTGGTTTTGATTCAAAGTTACCTAAGTCATCTGATGATGGTTTCAACTCATGTGCACCAAAATTGTTATCATTGTTACCAGTAAAAGCATTTTCTTCTACAATTTCTTTGTTTTCTGAGACAAAATCATTAGAAAAACCCTTTTTATTGGGTTTACTAAAAGAGGAAAAACTTGCAAAATCATCCTGGAAATCTAGTTTAGCTGTATCAACTTTAGCTTGATTATCCGCACTTGATTCATAGTTCTTTTTTCCTGAATCTTCACTTGTTTTAAGATCACTCTTTATATCTATTGATTTTCCTTGAAAGTTTCCAAACTCTGCAAATCCACCAATATTAGAACTTTCTTGAAGACTAATCTCATCATTCCTTTTAGAGTCCATGTCACCAAAATCATCATCGTTGGTGATTTCCTCATGTTTGCTCAAGGTATTTTGTTTTTGGAATGCATTAGAATTTGGATCAGTTATATCTCTCTCTAGGGTCATTGCACTTTTCGTATCAGAGTTGACTTTTAAGTTCGTATCACCATCAATATTATCTTTAGTTTGATAGGAATTATGACATTCTGCAGTACTAGACTGTTTATCATTCCTGTTGGAAGTGTCTTTCTCTTCATCGGGAATATGACCTGGATTTGCACCGGATGTGAAGGCACTAAAGTCGGAGAAGTCATCATCCATACTTGATATTGATGTACTATCTTTCGAAAGTGTATCTTTGCTATCATTGGCATTTGAGCTGTGAAATTCTGAAAATAAATCTAAAGTTTGTTTTTTAACATCTGTTGAAGAATCTATTGATTGTTCTTGGTTACCATTGCTCTGCCAATCTTCTGAGTGGGTTGAGTTTCCATTTGTCAGTGGCTGTAGTGTATTTTCGCTTGGAAAACTGTTTCCATTTGAGGCATCAGCAAAGTCACCAAAATCATCGTCCACATTACTTCTGTCTTTTGTAAAAGAACGAAAATCACTGCCATTTTGATTATTAGTAATCTCAAAGTCTTCTTTCACTGGTTTAAAGTTTATTTCATTCTTTGTGGCTTTGTAATGTTTGAGACCAGGAGGTGAACCAACTAAATCAGATCCGTATTGGGAGAATGATCCAAAGTCATCGTCATCCTCATCAAAACCACCATCATCCATCGGTGGAGGGGATGAGGACACCATGGGAATGAAAGGCCCGTCAGTTGAGCTCATGTTGAGGCTGAAAGTAAGAATGAAAATAGACATTAGAATGCGGACAATACAAAAACGACACACTTTAAGCAATTGAAAAAATAGCACACATACATTTTACAAGTACTGTACCTATTTTAGGCATTTTTAATATAAGCTGATACTATTGATATTGTTATCAAAGGAGGAATATAACATTATAAGGCTCCAATTTACCAAAATAAAGCACAATTTTCATATTAATCAGTGTCTCTAAATGCAAGAGTATATATTATTAGTATAATCATCTCTTTTCATATTTACCCAATCATATACTCTAATTTAAGAGTGTAATTTGTCTAATTAATCAGAACCAAAGCCTAATTGATAGGCCAAGGCCTAGTGAAACTAAGTAAAGAGATTCCATCATGTCTCATTCTAACAATAACATATTACTTCTTTACATAACCACAGCTCTTACTGTTCTATAACAAAAGTAGCACAACAAATTTCACTAAAAATATTCTTCCTGGTGTAACAAAATCAGTTTCTTTCCTTCCAGACATATTTGACAGCTTTCCTGTGTACCACACTTTGTTTGCATGTATACATACATACATACGTGTTGTGCAAACAATGTGCTCAACTAAAAATTGTTCAATCAACACCAGAGAACTGTTTGAAAATCGTTCATGCATGCAAAGATGATGACCTGTCAGGGGATTTCCACCATAAAAAGGCACCAAGGCCAAAATTTAAAATATAAAAGGGCACCAAGGCAAAATTTGATTTAGCCTCAGTACTAATCACTCACAAGTGCCTTGATTCGTAGCCAGGCTAGGCCTAGGCTAGCTAGGCCAAGCCAAGCTAGGCCTAGCCAAGCCAAGCTAGGCCTAGCCAAGCCATCGTTGTCAATGGTAAAATGAATAGTATTAACTATTAATTATCGATTCAATTTTGGAATCGGCGATCGTAAACAAAACAGTCAAGTTTAAGAAGTTCAATATCTGATGTTGTTGCTCAGTGTGTCGTCATTGGAGAGGAGGCCACACCTCTAAACTGCACAGCATGCAAGCACATGTTTACAACTACAGTACGAGTCAGACACATGCGAACATAACGGTAACAGCAAAAACAGTTCATATCAACACACACACATGGAAATTCTCTTGTTTTGTCACTGGAACCTTATCTAGGTGACCTACGTTTTTGGCTTTTATGTTTTCTTTCAAGATTTGAGCGTTCTTGTTTAGATTTATTTTATGTGTCAAACGATCTAAATTAAGCATGAGGGCACCGAGGCAAAAGGGCAGGCAAGTAGTGGCCGTCATCGTGCTTTATTTTCAGGGGCACCAAGCCAACTGGGAGGGCACCGTCGGCAATGGCCGCCGTAAAATTTGAGGCCTGGGAATAATGTTTTACAAATTTAGTCTAATGTTAATACTTGCTCGTAACAATTTATTTTGTTGATTTTAGATCTTTAATAGACATGTATTTATGACTTCGTGGCTCTACATGACTCTTAGGAGATGAGTTAAATAGCTTGGTGGTTAAGATGTTTGCCTTAAATTCCAGGGTCCTGGGTTCAATTCTTTTTGCTAGAAGGACTACCATCAACTACAATCTGAGGCAATTATATTGTCTTAAAGTAGCTATAATATAGCTTTAAAAGAATTTCTGTATTTTTTTTTTTTTTTGAAAGAACAAATAAAACCATGAGAAAGGATTATAATTGGTGGGGAATGTACCTAATGTAAATGCATAATTTCTGTGTTTACGGTAGCTAATTTGCAATGTTTTCCATTAAGAAACATATCTGTACAGTAGATTAAACTCAAGCTGACAATTTGGATCAAACAAAAGAGAATGCCTATGGAGACATAAAAGTGCCAACAACCATAGGCCATCGAATTACTTGATTTCATTTAGTAAGTTCATCCTTAATACAGATTGTGGCACAATGAAGTAGAACAACCGACATTGTGTGATTTGGAGTTTAGCAAAATGATTAAAGATTTAACTCCGCCCAAAAACACTTAATAATCACATTAACATACACATGAGTACGTCAACCGCTGTCAGAGAAATCATCACTGAAATCAGCACAACTCACAAGACAACATATTGGATTATTTTTTTTACACTCTGACAATACAGTATAATACTGTAGACAGAGGTAATCAGCTTTGAAAACTGGGAATTGACAAGGAACTATGTGGCAGCTTTCAAATATATTTCTGTATGATTATTATTATCAGAACATTTACAGTTACAGAGTACAAAATCTAAAGCCTACATTTCACAAGCCGCTCTTTGTTGTACGGTAAGTAAACAAAGAGGTTTAGAAGGCCCTCAAAGCAATGTATTCTAGTCAATCAAATTGTGGTTAAATTTCCGCATTCAAGAAATCTTGATACAAAACCAGAATTTTAATCAAGAGAGACTTGAATTAGCGCAACTACAAACAATGTCACAGAACTTGAGATAATTCTGATCAATGTAACATTTTGCATTCATATCCATGACAATAACAAGTACACACAATGTACTGTATCAGTGTTTACAATATTCATCAATCTTAATTTTGTATGATTTATAGTGTTACTGTAGCACTGCTACACTTGCTTATTGTCATGTATACCGAACAACAACATACAGTATGTAGAAAATCCTCTCCCAGTTGGAATAAATTCTAGGAGTTGGAATCCTTAAGGATAGCTATTGGAGTCACAACAAAAACTTTTAATTGGTGAAATTGATGAATGGAATTTCATTCAGTAATTGCACCAGTAGTTTATAATTTATATTGTAGTACATGTTAAAACTTAAATACATAAAATGTTAATTAAGGGAAGTTCAATGATATTTGTTCTCATTTTTCTAGGATTATTGATTATCAAAAATTAAATAACATTATCAAATTTAGATACTACACTACACATATGATCAAGGAAGTTTTGGAGTTGGTCCAAAACGGAAGAAAAAACTGTTTCGTCAATAAAGTGCGAATATAGAACTTTTACAGTAGTATTGAAATTGAATTAGTTTATTTTAATAAGTAATTCAAATTGTTGTATTTATAGCAAGGAATCACTGATATTTTAAAAAATTTGAATACTAAACTAACACTGCCCATAATTTGACATATTTCACAGAAAGTTGCCCACAAAAACATTAAACAGATAGCACAAGCATAAGCTCATGAGAATACAGGCTAGACCACAGCAAATAAAATCACAGTGAGCTCAGAACATTTAATTTTTCAACATGTACAAAAAGACAATCGTTGGATCAAATTTTGCCACTAATAACAATTAATAAAAAAATCAGAAAAAAATAAAATATTTTACAATATAACCAATATAACAAAATTACCTAAGAAGTGAAAATAAAATCAACTTACACACTATAAACTGAGTACACAGAAGGCTGAAATACAGAATTCCACTCAACAACAATGGGGCCTATAAGAAACCAATCAAAGCACGCCTTAATCTACTTGTGGAAATAATTTGACGATAATTACAACACTAACTGAATCTTTGTTGCATACAAACACACTTCAGTGTATCAGCTCAATGGAGCAGAAAATATACAAGAAAAGCACACAGTAATATTATGATCCATTGCTTAAATTGCAGTGCGATCCATTGCTTAAATTATGTCATGTGAAAACCCCAATATTGTGCTGGGGATACAATGCGTAGTGTAATGCAACACCATGTGCACACATCATGCATTCAACATCTGTGTTTAAGAAACACGTTTGATGTTTTTCACCAGGTGGGGTTGAAGGTTATGAGGATGAATAAATGGATTTACCAATGGTAATTATATGGAATATTATTGAAGGTTATGAGAAACAATAAATGGATTTACTATAATGGTAATTATATGGAATATTATCAACATAATGAGACAAATTTAATAACTTTTGTAGTATTTTTTTTTCAATCATCTTTGTCCTTTTCAACATTAACACCATCACCTTTGGCTTCTCTTAATCCTCTCTAAAATCATCTTTAATCACATTCTCCATCCTTTTCATCCTCATCACCATCATCCTGTTTCTATTCATCGTTACGATATCAATATTCATCATCTTCTTCACTACTGAATCATTTATTGTTTATAACCACTACCACCATCCTCATAATTTAGGCCTACTATTCACCACTGCACAAATGTAACAACCATAACTATTTTGAAATTCAGACAGTGTTTTTTTTTATATAGTGTTTTTTTTTAAATATATTTTTTCGCCATGTTCAGACAGAACACTACTTACTCTACAATTAATGTACATATAACGCTTCTGCAAGTCAATTATAACATGATGCAAGAGCACATATTGCTATAGCAACCACTATTACTCCCTTTCGTGTAATTAACATTATTGAAAGAATGTTGCGTTTGAGGTATTTTGTATATTATGTCATACAGGTAAAACATCAATAATGTAAAATATTGCAGAATTTGTTGTGTATAATATTACAATACTAAACTGTAAATTACAGTCTCTCTCTAATTAAAGACCCTAACCCATTCATGCCCATAAGCGCTTTAAACGCTCTCTAATTATCGTCAGTAATTAATTAATTAATTAATTAACAATAATTTTAAAAACAACGTATGTGCAGTAATGTGTGCATGTATTTTCATTAAATATTCGAGAAAATATCAAAAATTTTTATAAAAAAATGTTTCTTGGTGCTTTTTTAAATTAACTTGAATGATTAGAGTAATTAAAAATATGAAATATGATCGTTATTTTTGTAATATGATACCCTTGAACGGGAAGGCGCCGCCGTCAACACTGATGAATAAAATCGTCTAAAAATACACTTTTTTTTCAAAAAGTAACAAATCTGACACTTTCCTATAATAAATATATATTCAATATACATACTGTACCAGTTTGGTTATTATATCCTCATGTTTCCACGTAAAATTAATTTTTTTTGTGGCTGAAAAAAAATGTGGCTATCAACTTCGTCAGCGCCATCTTGGTTTTCAGGCTACGGTGCGTAGTGCAGTGAAGGTGACTGGACCGGCTCGTAGGCCTAGGGGAATTGGCTTAGGCCCCCCCTGAGGTGAAATTTTATATTATTTTTTATCTTCCGAAGTTTTTGATCAAAAATTACAAATTTAGTTTTATTTTGTAAAGGAATAATTTGTGCACAAATTTGAAATAATTCCTATGAAATATTATATTTCACAAGTGTCAATACTAGCAACGGAAAATATCATGTCGGCCGTCTTTATGTGTGATAACAGAACCTAAATCGAGGTAAGGCTAGGCCTAGCAGCTTTGGATAGGCTAATATTTTCAGCGCCTACGATATTTCTTCTCACGACCTATCGCAAAATCAAACATGAAAAATTCATCCACATTTATTTTTTGTGTGGAACACAAAAAAATCAAATTTCAGTCTTATTTTACATTTTTTTCATTCTTAGGAATGTCTAAATTCAGTTAAACTAGCAATTCCGTATTATATTTATAAATCTTTATAACATTATACAAAAATTAGATTTTTCTTAACAACTGAAATTTTGCCGGGAATGGGGCTTTAAGCTAGACGGCTATAATACAAGTTACGATAGCGCAACATATTTCGGATGACATGTTTAAACCATTGAACCTGTGTGCAAAATGGCCTGTGTACATGTAAAACAGAATGCATTCTTTGGAATAGAGTAGGGGATTTTCTCCCGGTGTACTGCCCAATTACCACCAGAAGGACCCCACTGGAAATGAGTCTGAGGACTTAGTGGGTTATCCTTGGTGTGATTCACAACGAAAATTCTCTTATCATATCTCATCCTAAAAAATTGTTGAAAGTACTACTATAGACCAAGAAGAAAAATGAATATTGATAAGAGACATTGGGAAAAAATAATTTTAATGAAGATATAAAAAAAAGTTAAAGCAACAATATGTAACAAAAAACAGAGAGAATTTAATTATATTGTGATAACAAAGGAAATACATTGATAATTTTAGTATTTGATTATTACCATTCTACTCATTACTAGCAACATATGCGATCATCACCATGGTAATCAGCATTCATTGTATAAAGAATGATTCATTTATTTTGCTTGCAATTAGTTTAAAAGTGCTTTGTTATACCATACACTTCATGGCTTAAAAAAACTGGGCTGGGCAGTTTACTAATATTAACTCATGACGATAGTTCAAGACCTGAACCAGCATACTGTATGCTCATAAACTGATGATGTCATCAAATTCATCACTGTTGGAGCATATAACAGTAAGCACCATGTACGACAACGTCTTAAGTGGTCATTACAAAAAATATAGGATGCATAATTAATGTCAGGCAAATCCTAGATGTGTGTGTAGCTTAACTAGAGTTACCAACCATCAATACTAATTACCTTTTTCCTACCCATCTGCCTTAATCTTGCAGGGATGTAGTAATGGTGGGTGGGGCACATACTGTAGCCTTGAAGATTTCCACAAAGTCTAAAGCTAATTTCATGGCCCTCCACCCACCTTAACCCCTTGCCACTCATAATCCACTCTTACAGTACTTAGAGTTTACAAATGTTATCACCTACCCACCGTTATGCCTACAGTACCACCCTTAGTTTTCTAATATAACCCTGATCTTAGGATAAATTGCTACATTTAGTTCTTTCTAGAGAGCCTACTGTATCCTGTGCACTGTACTCTGTTTTCATGATTGTGGGCCTACTCAATCTGCATTTATAAGACCCCATTCATTACAAACCTGTCATTAGTTTCTTGGACTAGTCAAATTGCATATCAAAATTATTTTTTTTTAAGTCATTCTTGTGAGATGTCAGCATTTTTTCCATAATGTTCAATTTTTTGGCCAAGTGAGCGAGAGAATGAATTCTTATTTTTAAGAACAGTTTACTTTCATTTTAATTTTAGAATGTAATTTGCAACCTTCATTTCCTTCTCTAGTTCAACCTCATTTATTTCTAGTTTATGTTAGTACATGTGATCACTGGGACCGGGCTCTCTTGTAAAGCTAAATTAGTGGGATCTTGCCTTCAAATTTTCAGATCTTTATCTATTTTTGTATAAAGCACAAAGAGGTAATATTACAATGTACATGCACTAATCAAAAATACAGGTCTCAGTCTAATTTCCAATTCAAAAAAATTACCAAATCAATGTAAATAATAATATAACTGGTACTAGTTCCATGCATTTATTTTGCCCATTTTCTTTCAGTTGCGTTACTTGTACAGGACTCCCTCCAAATAAAGACCACCTCAAATTAAAGGCCACTTTTCTATGGTCCCAAATGAACAACTGTCTTTTATTTTTATTATTCTAATTAGAGACCAAAGCTGCTAAAGATCATGTAAAAGCCCGGTCCCAGAAGTGGTCTTTAATTGGAAAAACACAGAATACAGAACAGTCATTGATTCAATGATTCACCCTTAAAAATTTCAATTTCAAATAAAATATTCTACTTGTGAGTGGCCATTGTTTATCTCTTCTACTATTGAAAGGAAAAGAACACAATGGTTTTATTGTTCATACCCGAGTAATTCTGCAGATATGTTCTCATAGATCAGTGGCTATTAGGATCAGAGGACGATTCAATAAAATTGCAGTAAATGCAAGTAGGAATACATTTGAGGTCTACAGTACCTGTTACAAATAATTTATAAAATATCCATGTATCCAGTTAAATTCTAATCATTCCAACGAGAAAAATTTTTGACCAAAACTATGTGATTAAATTAAAATTTACATAGAAACTTACTGAATTTTAGAGGGGTTTTTCTGAGTATACCACAAAAGTATATATAGCCATTGAGATAGTAAGGTCATGGATTAGGAATCAATGGAGGATGGATTGAGGTCAACTTGAGTAAGCATTGCTCCCAAATAAATGAGTATTTCAAATTAATGTAAATTATCATGACATCATGATAAGAAGATGGAGGCTCAAGAACATTCACCAAGGCTTTCCCTCCCGGTCATTAATGATCAATTTGGGCCTGGCAGCCCTGCTGGCCTTAGCCGGAATTTGTCACTTATTTCTCTAAGTGATCCTACCACCCCACCTTGAATGTATAGCTAAACTCACACACATGACGTAATAAATAGTCTATCTTTTATACCATGGTAACAACTAATTCAAGTACTGTATTTGCAAATTTTTCATAAGCATTCAAGAAAAACATTTAAGAAAATGAATTTAATTATTAAATGTGAAGATGACATAGGCCTAGGCTAGCCTAGGCCCCATCAGTTTTACAGTGGTGATGGACAAGGTACAGATACCTAAAAATCTAGCCTAGCTAGTGCTACAATGTAACATACAAAGAGAAGCGCACAAAAATATAGACCAATCTATGGTATATAATAGGCCTATCTAGTCTACCAGGTCTAGGGCCAAGCTAGGGGGCCTACCTTGGCTAGGCCTAACATTAACAATGTATTGTATGGTTGGGCTTGGTTGCTTGTTTCATTTGAGTTTTTTACTTAATTAATAACAGGGAATACTGGAAACATTCTTTAGCTTACATTTACACCAGAATTACGCAAGACACATTGGGAGAGAATATACGTTACAAAAACACCAGTAAATAACGTAAATACTATGCCCAAGGCCTAGCAGATTTAAGCCGGAAACAACTAGCCTAGGCCTAGCCACGAAACAAAACATTGGTGGGAAGGTCTGACCGGTGATTCTTGATTCATTCACCTGGCCCAGGCCAGCCTAGGTCCGGAAAACGGCAGAGAGGCGGTTGACAGTTCCATACTTCGAAGTCAGGATATAATCATAGAATACGAGAATTATGGTTCTATACATGAAACAAATAAATAAGTGACTTACCTTGAACACGCACGTTTTAAACACAATTAATTTCGACCTAATCCAAATGGTTTCACAGCATAACTGCACCCGTTTTACTCATCATCAACACTCATCTCTCGCGAAAATCGCCATCTTCTGTTCTGATAATGATCAATTTCATAGGGGGCGCTATTAGGAGGCGTGTCGTTTTTGGTATCTGAATACTAGTAGCTTGAGAGGGTACCAGATTTACTTTCATAGTGTCTAAACATCACCCGGTAGGCATAACAACTACATTATCGCCATCATCATTGTCGTTAATAAAGTCATTTCGCCATCATCATCATTGCCATACTCATCTATTATCTTTGCATCATCCTCATTACTCATTATCATCGTCGTCGTCGATATGTTATCAGTGTCTTTTGTATATACAGTATATGTATATGTATGAAAAAAATATATAAATAATTTTAAAAAAACATAATGATTGAATTTAAATAATTAGAATGAACTTATTGGTGAATAATTGGAACTGTATGTTAATTTTTTGTAATTGGTTATTGGATTTCTTTCGATAAATCTATTAATGAATTGCTAATAAATTATATTATTGTAGTTTAGTTATAATTAAAATTTTGAATGAATTGTAAATAATTGGTCGATTATATGTCTTCACTGTATACCGTATGTATTTTTTTCAAAACCCTTAAATGCATCTTACTTTATGTATATTGTTGTTGAGATCTTGTTTGTTTCTTGCTTTTCTTTGTTTGCTAATATTTGTTCTTGTCAGCCTTGGCGATCCCTCGATAGTGTTCCACACTTTTGATAATATCCTTATGGGATTTTTTCTCTTTATCCTAAAATGCTGTAATAAAATAAACAAATACCATTACCCGGTCTCATCGATCACCTTCATTCGATTCGACAAAAACTATTTTTTCTCTTAAGATTTCTTAAGATAACATATTTTATTTTTAAAGGTATAGAAAGATGCCGATATTGTAATAAAGTATGCGCTTATTATAGCCTCGAGAGGATACATTCTCGCCGTTTACGGCGATTGTAAGCTAAAAGCTGAGCTTAAAATTAACCAATAAAACAACGTAGCACATCAAGTCAGCTGAGCTGATTAAAATGGCGATCGTCGATCTTTTACATGAGGAAAAATTGATTGCAATGTGGCCAGATTACCAGTGTCTGTACGATGTGCGGTCAGTCGACTTTAAAAACAAAGATTTGAGGCAACAAGCTATTGGGGAAATTGCAGAAAAGGTGGAGGAAAACGGTAGGCTACGCTACTATGCCTATTTCAAAGTAAACTTGGGCAGATTTTTTCCAGGATATCACCTCACGCGGCAAAGTGCGGTGTAGGCGAGATCAACAGTGCTGTACAGCGTTCAGAGAACTTGTCGCTGAGTTGTGGGACATGCCTGCCACTACGATAGGCCTAGATTTATTGATTTTCTCACTTTCTTCTTAAACAACATCTTTCTTGCTACCACCATAGAAGGAAAGTAGGCTTGTAAAGTTGTATACTAAATAGAACTGCTAAATCGAATATATATATATATATATATATATATATATATATACTATATATA